GAGGGTCCATCTAGTCCAGCATCCTGCCTCACACAATGGCCAACCACTTCCTCTGGAGGAACAACACCAGGGCACAGAGGCCGAGGCCTTCCCCGATGTTGCCTCCTGGCACAGTGATTCAGAGGATTATTGCCTCTGAATAGGAAGGTTCCCTTTTGTCACCGTGGCTAATAGCCACTGATCAACCTCTCCTCCATGAATCTATCCAATCCCCTTTTAAAGCTCTCTATGCCTGCAGCTATCATAACATCCTCTGGTAGCAACTCCCACATGTTAATCCCCTCCCTAAACCCCACACTCCCCGGGGTCCACCCCCAAATCTCCAGACGTTTCCCGTCCTGGAATTGGCAGCCCTACAAATCCATCCCGGGCATTCGCTTTCCTGTTAAAAAAAAGCAGATCTCCAGCCCTTATGGAGTCAGCTGGGCTGAGGCAAGAAATGGAGAGCACGTGGTGGGTTGCTGATAGAAGGTAGGGGATTTTTAGCTCTCCTGGATCAGACCCAGTGGTCCACCTACTCCAGTATCCTGTTGCCCCCAGGGGCCAACCTGTTCCTCTGGAGGGCCAACGACAGGGCATAGAGGCCGAGCTCTTCCCCTGATAAGAACATAAAAAGAGCCCCGCTGGATCAGACCAGTGAGGGTCCATCTAGTCCAGCATCCTGCCTCACACAATGGCCAACCACTTCCTCTGGAGGAACAACACCAGGGCACAGAGGCCGAGGCCTTCCCCGATGTTGCCTCCTGGCACAGTGATTCAGAGGATTATTGCCTCTGAATAGGAAGGTTCCCTTTTGTCACCGTGGCTAATAGCCACTGATCAACCTCTCCTCCATGAATCTATCCAATCCCCTTTTAAAGCTCTCTATGCCTGCAGCTATCATAACATCCTCTGGTAGCAACTCCCACATGTTAATCCCCTCCCTAAACCCCACACTCCCCGGGGTCCACCCCCAAATCTCCAGACGTTTCCCGTCCTGGAATTGGCAGCCCTACAAATCCATCCCGGGCATTCGCTTTCCTGTTAAAAAAAAGCAGATCTCCAGCCCTTATGGAGTCAGCTGGGCTGAGGCAAGAAATGGAGAGCACGTGGTGGGTTGCTGATAGAAGGTAGGGGATTTTTCTTCCTCCCTTTGCCTTCCTAGCTGCTGTGTGGGAGCTGAGAGAGAGTTGGGTTCTTTGTAGGCTGATAGAGAGTGGCTCTGTTTAAGTCTGTTTGGGGCTGTTTGTGCTTTGGGGTTTGTTGGAGGCTGAGTAAGTTGTTGTGGAGTGCTGTCGATTGCAAGCCCCGCCCCCTATTGTGCTGGGCTCTGCTGTGCTGAGCAGGAAAGGGGCCTTATTTGTAGCTCCCCATTGTAGCTGCCACCACTTCCTGCGGCAGTGAATTCCATGTGTTCATGAACCTTTGGGGGGGGGAAGTCCTTCCTCTGATATATTCTAAGCCTACTGCTCATTAATTTCCTTGAGTACACAGGAGTTCTCATATTGTGAGAAAGGGAGAAAAGCAGTTCTTTCTTCACCCGCTCTATCCCATGCATAATTCTGTAAACCTCGATCGTGCCATCCCTCAATCATCGTTTCCCCAAGCTAAAGAGCCCCAACCTCTTTCACCTTTCTTCATAGGGAAGGGGTTCCATCCCCTTAAACATTTTAGTTGCCCTTTCCTGCATGTTTCCGAGGTTTGAGTGCATACCTGGCAGACGTCGTAGTGCTCAAACAGGGACAGCAAGCCAACCTCGCTCCGGCCAGAGACGCCTTTTAAAACCGTGGTGTTGCCATTTCCAGAGTCCAGCTCGATGACATCGTTGAAAACATTGGACACGGCTTTGCCCGTCAGCAGTAGGTTTACCAGCTCCTGGATTCGAGAGGAGAAAAGGCGTCTGGCAAGCTGGCCACGGAGCATGGGATGGTACTCATGCTGCCTTTTAAATACCTGGGTGCCCGTCCAGAACTGTGTCTGGATTGAAGGGAACCAACAGACTCTTACGCCTGGTTGGGTACACATGCACTGGGAGGAGCGGGTGGCACCGTAACCTGGACTGTACCATGGCAGACTGAGGACATAAGAGAAACCATGTTGGATCAGGCCAATGGCCCGTCCAGTCTAACACTCTGTGTCACACAGTGGCCAAAGCCCTGATGCCATCGGGAGATCCACCAGCAGAGCCAGAACTCCAGAAGCCCTCCCATTGTTGCCCCCCAAGCACCAAGAGACAGAGCACCACTGCCCCAGACAGAGTGTTCCATCTATAAAAGGTAAAGGTGGAGGTTTCCTTTGCTCGAAAGCCAGTCGAATCCGACTCTAGGGGACGGTGCTCATCTCCGTTTCCAAGCCAAAGAGCCAGCGCTGTCCGAAGACTTCTCCGTGATCATGTGGCCGGCATGACTAAACGCCGAGGTGCATGGAACACTGTTACCTTCCCACCGAAGCGGTACCTATTAATCTACTTGAAGTTTCTTGCTTTGAAACTGCTAGGTTGGCAGGAGCTGGGGCCAGAGACAGGAGCTCACTCCGTCATGAGGCACTCAGGTCTCGAACTGCCGGTCTGCAGCTCAGCGTCCTAACCTCTGAGCCACCGTGGCCCCTGTTCCATCTATACCTTGTGGCTAATAACCACTGATAGACCTCTGCTTGGTATGATTATCCAGTCTCCTCTTGAAGCTGTCTATAAGAACGTAAGAGAAGTCTACAGAGGGGAAGGGTCATATCTTAAGTGCTTCTCCATGCAAAAAGCTCCCTACATATAAAAAGTTAGCCCTTGAACAGCTCCTGTATTTTCCCATCATATTCAGCTAATAACTTCACTCTTTGATGTATGTACATCCCCCTTCCTGGTGCCCATCAAGTATTCTTAGAAAGTGGGTGTGGCCAGAAGGGGCTTTTGCCCAGGAAGGCTTCTGATTGGCCACTGGAAATTTGATTGACTGGAACTGTGCAGATTTCATAAAAGGTGGCTTTGGCAGCAGCTGCTGCCGCAGTACAGGGACCTTCACTATATGACTGAAGGCAAGCTGCGGCAGCCATTTTGTGGCTGGCTCCGCCTCCCGCAGCAGCCATTTTGTGGCTATACTCAAAGATGCCCACAGGCTCAAAAACGTCTGTGACTACGTCCTCAGACCTCTCCTCTGTTTACCTGTGTACAGTATCCATGTGCACCAATCAACTGGTTCGTGCTCACATCAAAATCTCTCCGAACTCTGAAAGAGAGAAGGATACATCATAAGTAAAGTTGACTCAAAATGCATTCTCATGAGATGTTTCCCCAGCACTGTTCAGCCAATTCTGGTTTTCACTCTGCTGGAGAGAACGTGGGCTGTGGCTTACAACAAAGCGCAAAGATCTTCAAACTGGTGTCTACAAAGATATGCAGTGAGAGAGAAAAAAGAGCGGGATTGGAACACCGGGTTCCATTCTACCATTCCACTCGGGAACGTCTGGAGATTTCCTCCAGCCAAAGGGGCATTCTTCCAGTTTCATGAAGACAGTTTCAGGAGGGTAGCCATGTTGGTCTACAGTAGAAGAGCTGGGTTCGAGTCCAGCAGCACCTTAGAGACCAACAAGATTTCCCAGGAAGAAGGATTAGGAGGAGGAGGAGGAGGAGATCGGATTTATACCCCACCCTTTACTACCCAAAGGAGTCTCAGAGTGGCTTACAATCTTCTTTCCCTTCCCCTCCTCACAACAGACACCCCGTGAGGTAGGTGGGGCTGAGAGAGCTCTCTTGAGAGCTGCTTGTGAGAGAAAAGCTCTGAGAGAACTGTGACTGACCCAAGGTCACACCAGCAGCTGCATGTGGAGGGGTGGGGAATCAAACCCAGTTCTCCCAGATTAGAGTCCGCGCTCCTAACCACTACACCAAACAGTAGTCAAAGCTCCCTTCTATTCTCCGGGGAATACAGCTATTCTCCAGGGAAGAGTATTAAGATCTTGTGTTATTGCTGAAGTGCTCACATCAAAATCTCTCCGAACTCTGAAAGAGAGAAGGATACATCATAAGTAAAGTTGACTCAAAATGCATTCTCATGAGATGTTTCCCCAGCACTGTTCAGCCAATTCTGGTTTCCACTCTGCTGGAGAGAACGTGGGCTGTGGCGTACAACAAAGCAAAGATCTCCAAACGGGTGTCTACAAAGATATGCAGTGAGAGAAAACACAGAGCGGGATTGGAACACCAGGCTCCATCCTACCATTCCACTCGACAACGTCTGGAGATTTCCTCCAGCCAAAGGGGCCTTCTTCCAGTTTCATGAAGATAGTTTCAGGAGGGTAGCCATGTTGGTCTACAGTAGAAGAGCTGGGTTCGAGTCCAGCAGCACCTTAGAGACCAACAAGATTTCCCAGGAAGAAGGATTAGGAGGAGGAGGAGGAGGAGATCGGATTTATACCCCACCCTTGACTACCCAAAGGTGTCTTAAAGTGGCTTACAATCTTCTTTCTCTTCCCCTCCTCACAACAGACACCCTGTGAGGGAGGTGGGGCTGAGAGAGCTCTCTTGAGAGCTGCTTGTGAGAGAAAAGCTCTGAGAGAACTGTGACTGACCCAAGGTCACACCAGCAGCTGCATGTGGAGGGGTGGGGAATCAAACCCAGTTCTCCCAGATTAGAGTCCGCGCTCCTAACCACTACACCAAACAGTAGTCAAAGCTCCCTTCTATTCTCCGGGGAATACAGCTATTCTCCAGGGAAGAGTATTAAGATCTTGTGTTATTGCTGAAGTATACTAAGAACTGTACCTCTCCATGAATAGAACCAGAAACCTCCGAAGAGAAGCTACAACAACACTCTCTTGCATGTTTTAAGATTTCCGCTCTATACATAGGAAAAAAGTTTTACCTCAGAGTTTCTAACCCTTTATTTCACCGATATATATGGATATATATTCCCCTGCTGGTCAAATAAAACCTTTATTCCGACTTGACAGTTACTCTGCCCCAAGTGCCATTTAAAAAGAGTTTAAAAACAAGACAGCCCCTGCAGTTCCCTCAGGTTCCTCTGTTGGGTCATAAACCTAATCAAATATCTGCATCGGAGTGGGACTGTTTGGTCGTTTAAGTCAAAAAGAAAAGGAATACAGGCTATTTGGGGACAACTGAGTCATTGAGGTGAAGGTTTTGGCAGGAAAATCGGCCTGTGAGCTGGGAAGCAACCGGGTTCTGTCATCAGGCAAAGGGAGATTTGACTCTTGAAAGCTGATACCCAAAATCTCATTAGTCTCTAACATGCTACTGGACTTGACGCTAGCACTTCTTCCAACTTTACTGGAATGAGACCTCTAAATGCATTGCACAGTCTAGAGCACAGAGGTGTCAAACCTGTTTGTTACAAGGGCCAGTTCTGACATAAAAGTTACTTTGCTGGGCCAAGACATGTCTGCCATTAAATGAAATGCCAGGTACTGGAGATATCTCTCCCTTATTATAATTGAGTAGTGGGTGCCAAAGTTCTAAAATGCGCCCCGTTAGTGTATGGGCGGAAAAATTGCCACTCAGAAGACACTGGCTGCGATGACTGGCTCCCTCAGCGAACCTGGGCTGCCATTGGCTGCGTGGCTGGGAGGGGAGGGAGCCAGTCATGCAGCCAGCGTCTTCTGAGGGCATAACCGGGCGCATTCAGGCCAGCGGCGAACGGAGCCGGTAGGCTCCGTCCGCCGGCTCCCCCCCCCAACCAACCACTAAAGGCCGCTGAACGGAGCCGGCAGGCCCCGCCCGCCGGCCTCCCTAACACGGCTACTCATCTTGATCTATTTTCATTTCTTGACAGCGTCGACCACATAAACCTCACTGTGTGAGTTCACATGCCCGCTCCCCCTGGTCAGTCTCCTGCCTTCCCTCTCGCTTATCAGTTGCTCACAGGCCAGATAAGAGCCCTGAACAGGCCAGTACTAGCCCCCGGGCCGCATGTTTGACACCCCGTTATAGCATTTTCTGAAACAGATACTGTATTTGCCATAAGAGGAGAAGAAGAGGAGATTGGATTTATACCCCGCCCTTCACTACCCAAAGGAGTCTCAGGGCAGCTTAAAAACTCCTTTCCCTTCCCCTCCCCACAACAGACACCCTGTGGGGTAGGTGGGGCTGAGAGAGCTCTGACAGAAACTGCTCTTTTTTTTCAAGAACAGCTGTGCCAGAACCAAGGGTCATTTCCTGCAGGAGCGCACAGGAGTGGAGGTCCGGCAGTAAAGAGCCCAGGGGGTGGGCACATGCAACAAGCCCTACCCCCTGCTCCCAGCAGCCCTCAGTCGGAGCAAGAAGCAGCCAGGTAAGTGCATAGCCCCCCCCCCA